GGTTGCTTTAGCACTGTGCTAACTGGGGGCAGGTTCGATATGGCGACAGAAGGCTTTTAAGTAAGAGAAAGAGCACAACATCGGAGTGTGGGGAGTCCCCAGAAAACAAAATGATGATACAGAATCACAGTCAGTCAGTCAGTCCAAGGCTACAGCCAAACAGCAGCCCAGCCCAGGGAATGAGCTTTCTGGTCACGAGTCTGTATGTATGGGCGTAAGTTCACCCTGGCACCCAGCTCTGGTTGCTGTGTGAAGGTGGGGGGCATGCAAAAGCCCCTAGACTCATGCCCATCCCCATCCCCACTCCCTGGGACAGAGAACCATCAAAGTTGAAGTCCATGTTTTCTGTATTCATAAAATCACTGAGCAGGATAGAGTCCACATCACAGTCTAGACTATTAGGGACATTCTCCATCTCTAGGTCAGCAGCCATTCTACTCTGGGAGTTTTGAGGTTGGAAACCAGCATTCCCTGACTGGTGATTGTTGGGGTAGAACCCATGCCAGGAGTCAGTGATACCCTGATGGTGAGCTCCAGGGTAAGGCTGATGACGAGGGTGAGGTGCGGATGCCAGGCGGCAGGGGTCCTGGGGAACACCCATGAGGCCGGCAGGGTTCGGGGGCAGAGAAGGGGATGTTGGGAGGTGGGGACGGGGTCCATAGTGGTTAGAGGTCTTGAGACTGTAGGGCTGCAGGATGTCAGTGCTCACTCTCGGGGAAAGAGCCTGATGGTGAGGCCCGCTATGCATAGGGTTATGAGGGTTGTGGGGATTGTGGTTGTGCAGGTGACTCTGCGTGGAGTGAGGGTTGTGATCATGGCTAGGATTTACTTTACTGTGATTGTGATCATGACTCGAACCGTAGTCGTGAGCCGGGTGGGGCTTGTGACTGTGTGCGTAGTCGAGGCAGGCTTGGTGTTTGTGACCCTGATTGTGGTTCTGATGGTGAGTTGTGTTCTGGTCATGGTCATTGTGTAGACTTGCATTGCGAGCATGCTCTTGGCTGTGGTTCTGATTGTGGCTACGATTCTGATTGTGGTTGTGCTGGCTGTGAATGCCATTGGTTCCCTGTGTCATTAATGTGTGTGGTTCCCGTCCTTGGCTCAGGACTGTGTCTTTGTTGCAATATCGAGGACCTCCAGTGAGCAAACTCTGCAGGGCATTGTTCTCTGAATAGCCCCTCACTGGGCGCTGGAAGCTGACTGGCTTGTTCTCCTGGATGGTCTCCATTGGAGTGTGGTGGCGCAGCATGCCCATAGAAGGCTGTCCGTACATTGGCGCACAGTAGGAGCCCTCTGCCTTGGGTCCAGGCACATAGGGATAACCATTGCATTTAATTTGTGGTGGCTGGGGGTAGCCACTCTCATCTAGACTGATAGCCCCAGTCAGGTCAGTCAGCTGAGGCAACTCCACCGTGGGACAGTGGCCTCCAGTGCCCAAGGCTGGGGAACGCGTGCTAGTGGGGCTTGGGTATATTCTTGGGGAAGCTGAATTGGAAAGCCCACCCTCCTCTGGTTCATCAGCCTCGGCCTCAGCTAGGATTGGAGATAGGCAGCCGCTCAACGTGGAGCCAGAAGATGACGTGCGGGAATGGAGGTCTGTCCAAGTATCATACTCCTCTCCACCTATGCCCACACCTCCTTTCGCCGCTGGACTGCCGTGCTCTGGGGAGCCTTGCATCACTGGTCCAGCTCCCTGACCTTGTCCTCGTTGGAGCCCCATGGCCCCTGCTCTCTTCCGGCTGATGCGACCCTTCGTCTTCAGGTAGCGGGTGCCATTGTCTATAGATGCACGTCGCCTCGGTCCCTTTCCCATCTTCCCGCCTTCTGGGTTGAGCATCCACCAGGAACTCTTCCCCGTCCCTTCATTTTGCACCCGGATGAAGCGACTGTGCAGCGACAGATTGTGCCTGATAGAATTCTGCAACAAGAAAGAAAAATAGGAGAATGGAAGAAAGAGAGAGAAGAAAACTGATAAATGTTAACACCCAAGGGAACATTTAGGGTTAAATAATCATTTCTTGAGAAAACAAAGTCATTTCGAATTATGGTTAAACTGTCGAGGCAGCACTGCAAGTGAGAAAAAAGATGGATAAAGAAAAAGCAGATGGAGGGGTGAGCAGAGAGGGCAGGGAAAGTGAAGGGCCAATCAATATCTCCCTTGACCTGCCTCTCCTCTCCACACGCGCTCAGTGAGTCATAATATGGACATGGGTGCAGCCTCTACATCAAACCATCACCAAGGTTACAGAAATGAATCACACAAGGCAACCCAATCACAGACAGCCCGTATCGATTGCAGGGCCTCCAAATATGAAAGCCTAAGATCCAGCCAGAGAAGAAGAGGGGGGAGGCGGGGGATTTGGCATGAGAAGCTGTGGAAGAGCACCAGAATAAAAAAAGAAACACTACAGAGGCCTGGAATAAGTTACAGTGGAAGTAAGTGGGAGGACGGGAGGGACCTGCTCATCTGACCTCTTTTAAAAATCATGGCACAATTAGCACGACTGTAGGTGACCACGGCAGACAGCTTTATAATGAAGTCCTTCTGCAAGTCGCTTGAAATGGAGACGGATGCAGTGACTGTGGGTGGGTGTGGAGCGCTGTGGGGTGGTGGGGGGGGAGTATGCAATAAGCCTCTCCAGACCCTGTTTAAGTGTCTGAGTGACGGCTGTATAGTTAATCCAGAGCTCTGCAGCAGCATTTGAAACTGGTGCCAACCTGGAGTGAGTTGATGAGATCTAAGCCTGCCTAAAGGAGAGCTTAGCAGGGATACACATCATCTCAGCTGGCCAAGTAAGACTAAGTACAGCATGTTCATCCAAATCTTTCCGGCTTGTGTCATTATTCACACTCTTTCCAGTTTTCCTCGCCATTCTGCCCTCTCTTTCTTCCCTTTGGTTTTTTGGTCTATTGGGAGCAACAATTCCTCCAAACATCTACCCCAATGCCCGCAATCACACACTTTTCTTTTTCCTCTCAGGAGATATCTATCTATTTCTGCCTTGTTTATTACCTGCACATAGCTCACAATCTCTGTCTCCTGATATCTCGAGCCATTCTCTATCTTCATTCACTCCCCGTCCCCTGTCCAATTTTCCTGCTCTCAGCCCCATTCATCTCCCTATCTGTGTCCCAGCCTCTCTAGATCCTGACAATGCTCATTTTCTCTCTCTCTCTTATTCTCTCTCTATCTATCCTCCCATCATCTCGCAAAACTTTGGCTACCACCTCCCCTCTATCATTCACTCACTCATTTATTCATACATGCATATATTCGCATGTAAAAGCAAATATCAACCAGAAACAAACCTAAGGCTAAACATTTCAGTGCTGCCTGTAGATTCAGCATATGTATAGCCCCGCACACGCACACGCACACACACACGCACACGCACACGCACACGCACACACAGAGTTAACTGGCTGCAAAAATTGGACAGCACATTATGAAAAGCACAGCATCCAGAGTGGCAGGTAATGGGTTTCTCACAGGAAGAATTCAGGTTTATGTGAGTTTGGGATCAGTCTTGTATCCCACCTACTACTGTTTTCATTCATGCAGAAGAGCCCACCCATCCCCACGGCGTGACTCCTAACAGGTAATGTTTACCTATCCTCCACTCACATCACGCTGCCTTGACTAGACTCTCTTCACAGATGTGGAAATTTCCTACGAGAGCTGTATTTATGGTTTTTTCCTGCTGTTTCAAAGTGTTCTCTCCAAAACACCAGGTCAACAAAATTGCACAAGCTCAACATTTACCAAAGAAATAGAGCGACTGCACTCCTGCGCCGCAGCTCGCTATAGAGAGCAGACTTAATCAAAGCCAAATTGAACGATGACACCATGTGAAAGAGGCCACCAGTGGAGGCGACCCGCATCAGGTGATCTGAGAGCGGCACCCTGACAGGTTCCTCCGCAACATGACGGCTCCGGCTGAGCGTAGCCATGGCAACAGAGTAAACCAAAAGAGGCGTAGTGAAGAGAGGGGAGGTGATGGTAAGGAGGAGAAGTGGGGGGAGGAGGCTGATGCTGTTTGATGCTGCAGGCAACTCCAAACAGCCTTTTATCTGAGTCTGTCAGATTCCTGCTCCAATCCACCAGGGAGGCTCAATCACCAGTAGTCCCAAAGCCTCACTACCTGTACCAAGCTGTGATTAGCGTGTGTGTGTGTGTGTGTGTGTGCGTGCGTGCGCGGTGGGGGAGGGGCTTCTGAACACCTACAAGAGCAACAATTATGCCACAACAGCAGGCTGCTGTTCCCGTCCCTGCTTTTATAATGTGTACGTTCATGTGGCTGCTTACATATAATGATTCCTGACTGTCAGTCCTTCTGAAACAATAACAGCACAAAGAGTTAAATCCTGAAATTAACAATTATGTAAACTTACTTCAGCTTCTTGCACTGCACCACGCTGCCTGCATTTTCAAGTTTAGACTTGAGGAGACTTTTTTGTGTAATTCATCAAATGAAACCTCAAATAAAGAAGTGTGTATGTTCAGTTCATCAATAATTGCACACAGGATAATAGATAATAAAGTATCATGTTGATCTTTTGAAACAAAAGTCATTTTTTTTATTTTCAATCATCATTGTATTAGTTGCACAGAGCTGAAACTAAGGCTGTCCTGTAAATTATTTCCCCGAATGTGCAGCGGTGGTCTAATGGTGATAATTCAGCCGTATGACCACTCTGGAGTCTGCTGTTTGTCATGCTGTTGAAACGTGCAGCACTGATTCATTTATTGGTATTTATGTTTAAATCAGTGTGAGCTAAATAACTGAAGGACTTTTCTCAGCAGTATTTTGCAGGTAAAGGTGAATTTCCCTTTAATCTTTATGAAGTTTAACAGAAACTCTCATCATAAACGGGTGGTCTCATCCCACAAATTAGAACAATTTGAGATATGTTTGTAGCATGGTGTCAATTTAATTTCACTTTATCTATACAGCACCAAATCTCCTCAAAGCCCTTTATATTGTAAGGTAGACCCTACGATAATAGAGACAAACTCAACAAGCATTTTGGGTCCAAGAGACTTTAAATCCTCTCCTTTCGCAAAAAGAAGTACTGAAACTACTTGACACCACAGGCTTCTGTCTCTGTGGGACTAGCTGTCCAATGTGTTTAGTGTCAGAAATGTCTTTGACCACACTACACTGGGACTTTGGACAGTCTGCAGGTTATAATGGTAATCACATCTCTATAGCTGGAGTGAAATCCTCAAGTGTACCCTTTGGCTAGAATAAAAAACAAGTAAAAATAGATTCTCAGGCTTATGTAGGCCATAGCTGTGTTTATATTAAGCTGCCAATAAGACTGATCTGACGCGGAGGAGCCCACTCCCTTTGCTCTATGTCTCTGCCTTTCTGCTAATGCTGACGGAGATGGACTGCTGCAGAGAGAACAATAACTGAATCTGTCCTCATATCCACCCTGCTCCTCTACAGGGAATGCACTGCACTGTAGCACAGCTGTATGTTCTGCCTAAATACTGAGTGAGTCTGATCCTGGCACTTCTTTCACTGAGTCAGGGAATAGTCCGTCCAGTTGTTAGCTAATGGTCCATAGACACACAAATCTGTGCGTACACAGATGTCCTGTTGTTTCCCCGTTAAAAACACATCGGGCTACAGTTCCAAACAAGTACTTCATATTTCTCTCTGTGAGATTAAAAGAGCACAAATAGAATCGGAAAAAATCTTAGTTCAAACTTCACATACAGCATGAAAACATGAGGGGAACATGTGCTACAGATCAGAGACACGTTAGTCAGAGACTTTGGATCAGACTTGTTTTGTCCATTAATGTTTTGAAAAGTCTCGCCTACGATTTCTGTGACTGTTGTATTTAAGATGGAACGACAACAGACAGAACTGAAGCAGAAGAAACTGATATGGCCTACCTTTGCTTCACAGTGCAAACCGAGCTTTAACAGTGCGTTTCCCATGATGCAACAGTAGCGTCAAAATCAAAAGCTGACCTACAGAGGACATTATACATCTGTTTAAACTGGCTGATCAGAGCATCCCATTCTGAACAAATCAAACTGTAACTGCTGCTTGGCTTCCACAGTGAGCATGCAGACGATGTCATCCCTGCAGTCTGTTTAAGTCTAGTGCAATAGATCAGATGATGCTCTCAGACTGCAGTAGGTCATGTCATGCTGCTGCTGTTTTGTCTGCTATGCACCTACATTTTTTCCTGCAAATAGCATTTTGAAAGCTCAGAAAGCATGCGTCCTCTTCAGCTGCATGCCGACAAACTCCCTTTCAGAAAAGCAATAACAGAGCAATGGCTAATTTTCTTGATTATTATTATTTTCAACCCCCTTGTCCTTTTTCATTCTGGGTGAGCTAGCTAACACTAATTACATGTATTGCAAATTATCCAGTTTGTGTTGCGTAGCAACGCAAATGACTCAACCCATTCTGCTCCTTTCCCTCTTGTTGCCTTTCTAATATTTCTATCAATGAAGCTATACGTGCGTATAGAGAAAAGCCTTGTGTGTTAGCTCTGTGGAACAGGAAGTAGCAGCACACAAAAAACAAACTCGGTTTCCACATATTTAAACATCTCTTTGCACTTTAACTCTGTCCGTGCTTTAGATCTGTTATTAAAAGCCAACCCACCAGCATTTGTGGTTTGCAAGTGTGGCACATTAAACGAGGCCTCTCAGCATTACTGTCATTCAAATGGATGCTGACTCCTTCATTAAACTGCATTGTTTTTGATGATGAACAGGCGTCAGAGACAAAGCTGTCCCTAATTTACAGTTCTGATTTGTAAAGTAGAAAAGCTGGTGATGTGGACTCTCCACTTTGCTTTTGCACCTTTATATTTTATATATATATATTTTTGATGTTGTTCTCATTGTTTTAAATCAAACTTAATATAAAAAAAGTGTTAACATGG